TATTACTTAAAATTTAAGATTATAAGTAAATTGTGCATAAATACAACTTATTAAAGCTTTATATGTGAATTCATGTAACTAACTACAGATAAACATAATTAAATATTAGATAAACATCTCATTATAAATATAAAAAATTTAAAATATAATTAGGATAATCATTGAATTCTAACAGAATACATAATTATTATCTTTATAAAAAATTATATTATTAAACCTAAATTAAATTTCTTTGTTACTAAAACCTAAATTAAATTAAGATTAAAAAAACTGAATTAAGGAAATTACATCAAAACACAAGAACTTTTAAAAAGATTAATTTGATATTGATATTGATATCGATATATATATTTTTTTTCAAAATTGTATGAATTTACAAATTTATATTTTATTTAAAAATAAAACATTATCGTTTTCTCAAAACCAAATAAAAACGTATTATATCGACATAAAAAAGAAATAAAGCGAAACACTGAAATCAAGATGTGTCTCGATGCATTACACGAGTACCCTTCTAATATATATATATATATATATATATATATAAGGTAGGGTTCACGTGAGACCAGTCTGTTTTTGTAGGATACGTGAGTCAACATTTTTACACTTGAAACTTCACAACAAACTGTTGTGAATGTAAAAAAAAAAAGCTGAACCTTCACACATTCAAAGTGTTTTGCTGTAAAGTTTCAAGTGTAAAAATGTTGTCTCACATGTCTCGCGAAAACAGTTTTGTGTCGGATGTTCCCAGGCCTGCATATATATATATATACATACATTATATGTGTGTGTGTGTGTGTATATATATATATATATATTCAACTTGATAAGCTTGCTGTGGTTTTGCAATTTACAGGATGGGCGTATAGATTATGCAGAATTTACGGCAATGATGAGAAAGGCAGATGAAGGGATCAAAAGCAGAACGATGAAAGGGAATTTGAACTTTGATTTGGCAGATGCCTTTGGCGTTGATAATACCAAGTGATTAACCATACAAACAGAGTACGTACGTCTTGTAGTTTTTCCTGTTTCTGGTTTCTATTCTTGAACAAAAGTGCAACTTTTGAGGTGTTTTTGGTTCTTCTCCGAGTAAACAAAGATAAAGAAGGGGTTTACGTATATAAATAAGACAAGTTAACATCTGTTACAGCAGTTGATTCCATTTTCCATGACCACATTTACCTTTACCTTTACCTTTACCTTTGGCTTTCTGAACCAAGGAGTCTGTCGTCATTACGTAATAAAAGTAAGGATGGTTTAAATACAAAATTATTGAAGGGATCTGCAGTTACATAATAAAAGTATTACAGTCCTGGTCCTTTAACTAGCACTGGTTTCGAGGGGTCTCTGAATGTAGTTCAGCAGTCCTGCTCTTCACAACCTGGAGAACGCCTGGTTGTTCTGCCAAACCAAATCATATATATCTTCACTTTAATAATTTATAACTAAATCAATTGAAAATCATGGTCTTTAGTATGTATGAATAATCGAACATAAGCAACAACAATGGTGATTGCCAGCGATTGAAAATGGGAATGAAAACGAAAATGGCAGTCCTTTGGTTTAACCAGGAATGAAAATTTGGCTTATGGGGGAGTAAAATCTATAAGAAATGACTATCACAAAGAGACCTAAATCATGTCGTTGAAATCGACTCCAGCACTACCACGGGGATTTGCAAAGTTGGACCAACTGCTTGTAACTTTTTTGCTTTGTGGGAAAATATTGATTCTAGTAACATCTGGATTGTGAAAACAAGTCGCTCTAAGTGGCTCGCTCGATCATATTGTGCTTGAAGCCACATGATGTCGACATTGCATGGAATCAAGTACAATTAAGTGATAAAAGGGAAGTTCCAAGTGTTGCCTACCCATAATCGGCTGGCTCATAAATGATGCAGTGAAGGTATGGTATATAGTTAACAAGTACTTGCTTCAATACGGTTCTAGTTGGAGGTTCAAATAAGAATGCTAAATATCGTGAGAAGGGAAGGTTAAGAAAAGGTTCACATGTGAATCATTGAAAAATATCCATTTGAAGATGCATATGTGAAGCCATATGAATTATCTATAATGTCGGTTCACATATAAATCTTCAATCAGATTTTTTTGGGAGTTTTCATTGATTCATATGTGAACTTTCCCTTTTACCTTCTCCTGAAATTTAGCCTTCTTATTTGAACATACTCTTATGGTTCTAATGTTTTATATTACGTCAAATACTCAAAACCTAGTTGAATCGTTAGCCATGGCAACCTACTAACATTAGCAGACAATCTAGAGAACATTCCATAAGATGAGAAAGAGAGACAATGAAACATACTTGAAATTTCTTCAACTTGATCAGGAGTCAGCTTGGCAGAAAATCCACTGGCTGCATGCTTGTAAGTGTACAACAAAGCCCCTTTTGCCGCCTCCTCGCTAACAAGAAATACGAAAAATTCACGGAATCTGCCCCAAAACTATAAACCGATTTCCATACCTAGATTTGTTCCAAATTCAATGAAATTGAAAAACCCTATCTCTAAACAATATGATACTCGAATCTTTCTCTAATCTATTTGACTTTTTTGATCAAAATCATTTAATTGATCTAAACAATCTCTCAACTAAGGAAAACATCATCTATATTGAAAAATATGGGTTGTAGTACTTGATAATTTGAATCGACGGATGGAGAAGGGTTTCGTAGTTTGTAGCTTTAGATGAAGAAATAATACGTACCTGCCGAGTACGGAAGTGAGGGTGCGAAGATGATGGGATTCAGGTTCATCGCCTTGAGGTTGGTCAGTGTAAATAATATGGACTTCTGCTGCTGGTGATGTTGATTTGGGAACAGAGGAATTCGGTTCTGCCATAGCTATTTGATCGAGAATTCAGGAGCTAATTTGAGAGGACGACACAGGATTGGGTGCCGACTGCAGAGTGAGTTCTCATGGTGACTCACGCAAAGACTTTTGTACCAACGCGGACTTCCCCATGGACGAAATGAACTTCCAAAATTAAAATCTAATCTCATTTCGTAGTGTCCAAAATGCAATAGGATCAAAGAATCAAGACGGAAACCGATATCTTCGGTTTAGTTTTTGGTTCCGTATCCAATAGAAACCAATTTTCTATTTGTCTCTCAATTCAATAAAAAAAAAAGAATTTCAAATCGGTTTTAAGGGTCGTTCCGTTAAACACTTACCTGGTAAGCGTTTAAAGATGAATTCAACTCTATTGCTTATTTATCGGGTGATATTTTAGTCTATCAAAACGACATCGTATGTAACAATTTACCCTGTAAGCACTGACCGTGGTAAGAGTTTTCGCCATCACTTACCGGGTAAGACTTTCGGTCCGTGCCTTCGCTCTTACCAGGTAAGATTCTTGGTCCTTGCTATATTAATCCGGTAAGGGAATTTGACATGGTAACGTTTATCCGAGTAAGCATTTAGTAAACGGCCCCTTAGTTTGATTCGGTTCAAAACGATTATTGAAATAAACTGCATTAAATTAAAATTGCTTTGAAAAACTATTTTCAAGAATTAATTTTTGGTGTTTACGAACAAAAAAACTCGAGCAATAAAGTTAATATAAAAAATAAGAAAACATGAGAATATTGATATGACATATGTGTTGAATAAATGAGTCACGTCAATAAAACTCCTGATTTGCAGGAGGAGTTAGTTTGATTTTTTGTTTTTCTTTGAAAGTTTCTAGTCTTCTTTAAGAATAGGAGTTAGCTTCTCCTTTTTTGTTTTCTCGTTCATGTATTTAAGCCAGTACTTGGCTCTTTCAAGTAAGGCAATTTTTCTCAGTTCCATTTCTTATTCATTGCTTTGCATTGTGAGTGTGAGTGTGATACCAACAATTGGTATCAGAGCAAGGTTGAGGAGCTTCTAAAAGTGAGAAAGAGAGATGGCTACTTCTGATAAGTTTGTGCAACCATCGATTCCCAAGTTTGATGGCCATTATGATCATTGGTCACTGTTGATGGAGAATTTCCTAAGGAGTAAGGAAATGTGGAACCTRGTGGAGGAAGGAATTCGTRGAGAAAATGTAGTCAATCCAAATGAARMACAGAAAAGAGCCATCGATGAAGCAAGACTGAAGGATTTAAGAGTAAAAAACTACCTGTTTCAGGCGATARAYAGGGAGATTTTGGAGACGATACTGGAWAAGAGCACTTCAAAGGGAATATGGGAGTCGATGCGGCAGAAATATGAAGGCTCTACGAAGGTGAAAAGAGCTCAATTGCAAGCTCTAAGAAGGRAGTACGAACTGCTGTCGATGAAGGATGGAGAAAAGGTTGACACCWACCTGGCCAGAACACTAACGATCGTCAAWAAGATGAAGGCAAATGACGATTCTTTGACCTCGAGTACTGTGGTGGCCAAGATTYTGCGTTCTCTAACTCCAAAGTTTAACTATGTGGTATGTTCTATTGAWGAATCCAATAATCTTGATACTATGACTATTGATGAGTTACATGGCAGCCTGTTAGTCCATGAACAACGAATGATTGGACAACAGGAAGAAGAGCACRTCTTAAAGGTAACAACAAGTTCATCATATMGTGGTAGAGGACGAGGAYGAGGTGGTTATCGAGGTYSGGGACGTGGCAGGGCCTCATTCGATAGAAACACTATCGAATGTTATAGATGTCACARGYTGGGTCACTTTCAAAGTGAATGTCCAGATTGGGAGAARGATGCAAACTACGTAGAATGTGATGATACCGAGGAGATGGTGTTGATGGCTCAAGGAGAAGAAAGCAATTTGCCCAAGAAGTGCATGTGGTTCTTAGATTCGGG